CATGTCACACGCACGGGTGCCAGAAGCCAGAGGGCAGCCTTGCGGTGCCCTGTGGGGAAGCGGGTGTCAGCATTCAAAAAGCATCAAAAAGCACGGCTTACTACCTGCATTCCCTGGCACAGTGGTCAGAGGAGAGTGATTAACCTCAGCAAGTGTTTAGTCAGTTCACAAGAAACCACTACCACCTGTGGAAGCAGCACCCAAAAAGCTCTGGCCAATGCCAGGGTAGGGGATTGGGGCAAGGCAAACAGAGGAAGGGGAGAAGGATGGATGTCTTCCACCTCTGCTGTACAGAACAAGCATTGGTCAGTTCAAAGACTCTCACAGGCAGATTTCCTGGAACATCCCCGTGTACATGGGAGCTCAGATAACACTCCTTTTTCGCCAAGCATTTTTTAATTTAGTCTCCTGCCAAATACATCCACTGCAACTAAGAAATCCGAGAAACAGTTTTTCAGCCATCACCAATTTTGTTGTTGAGGAAAAACCTTCGTTTTACTTTTCTGTAGGTAAAAAACCTTTTGTCCCCAAGTACGAATCGGTATCTCCATAACGAAGGAAGCAGAAAGAGAGAATGACAATAATCTTATGAATCAGGTCTTGCATAAAACCTCCTAGAAACTGGCAAAAATGTGGAGGAAAATCAGCTACCCATACCCTTTTTCCACCCAGAAATTCACCTTTGATGGAAGTTTAGTTGGGCTCTGTATTTAAGAAAACCTAACCTAAACATTCAAGCTGGAGTCTAAGCTCCCATTGCATGCAGAAGATACCATTTCGCATATCTATTTTCTAAATGTCTGTTGTCGTTTGAGCCTGGTCAGCAGCTAAATGCCACGCAGTCGGTCACCCACTCTCCCCACTTGGGAATGGGGAGGGAATCGGATGGGCAAAGGGAGACTCGCGGGTTGAGATAGAAACAGTTTAAGAACAGTGACAGAATAGTACGGTGACACCAGTACCAACGGGTAACGTGCCATACAGCTGCTCACCAGCCGCCGACCGACCGACCGACCGACACCCGCCTGCTCCCGGCTGGCAATCCCAAACTCAAAGGCCCCACAGCCACACTCCCAGAAGTGGCAGCCCCTCACAGCCCACTCCTGCCTTTATAGAGTGAGCACAAGGTCACATGACAGGGGATATCGGCCAATCGGGGCCCAGCCCTCCAGCTGTGCTCCCCCCGCCCCCGCGCACAGGTGAGGGCACTGGGCCCTGGGGAGCCCCTGGGGTCTCAGTGTGCTGCAGCTCCTCCCGCTGCCAGACCAACGGGAACTCTAGTCCAGCCCCAACCAGGACAATGTCTCATGGTAATTTTCAGGCTTATTTCCATAAAGGTATGTTGAGGAAAAAAACAACCAACCAACCCAAATCAAACTCATTAGTTTAAGTGAAAGCTGATAGTTGTCTGTACTGATCCCTGATCATAGCCTCCTCCCCTTGAGCTTTCAGAAGGACACCGAAATTTATGAGAGCTCTGGTAAAAATTCCGAGTCTTTTCGAAGCTGACATCATTTTTGCGTGGTGGTTCATGGTGGATACAATCTCATATAACATTAATGACTGCAGTCTTCTGCCTCTTAGTAACCCAGCCTTTCTTTCATTGGAAAGAAATGTGTGCCTCTCTGCACCGAGTCAAAAACTATTAAAACAGATGTCTGAAGTCACTGGAACCATTTCAAAGAAATCCTGTTTCTGCCCACTGATTAGGAGGAGAAGCAGATAATTAACTCGGAGGTTGGGGCTTGCAGCACACCCATCTAAACAAGGCTTCAGATCACCTCACTGTTTGGTATAACTGCTTTCCCAAAGAGAAGAAATCACCTGCTAATAACAAAGAAGCATTTTTACTAGCACAGGTAGCCTCAGCTATCCCGAGTTGGCCTTGCCCTTTTTAAACCTTTGAGTAATCACAGGGTAGATCTTAAAATAAACTGATATAAAGATGCTGATAGCAACAAATGATCATCTGTGTCACTTCAGCTGGCTCAGTGGCTACTGCGTGCCCAGAAGAAGAGCAGGCAAGAGCTCAGGACGTTACCCCGGCTTTCAAAACCTGCCAAGACAGTCTTCTTAATGACTATGCTTAATGAGTAAAAACTCTGCTTGTGTTTCTTGTGAACGCAGCAAGCAGCTGCGAAACTGAGGGCTTATGTGACGTAGGGCTACCAAGGCTGAATGCTCTGCACTTTAGAAGGCAGTAATTTCCATGAGATTATGCAAAGGGACTAATACGCTCTCCTTTGACGCAAAATCATATTCTAGTGTCTCCCCGGTGCAGTCCTCCAATCCTTATTTTTCCCTTTGTGAATTCAAAATAAATAATCCCTATTGCTTGCTTCTCAGACGCTCTGTGCTTTAAAGCTTTGACCTAATGGTTTGGTTCCAGATTTCAGTCAGGCTGACTTCCACCCGAGGTGGGCTATTGATGCTGGGGACTTTTGTAGAGTCTGTCTGGCGAGGAAAAATGCAGAAAGGGAGACAGTAAGAGCTGTAGCTTGGTGTCAGCGGGGCCTGGCTGGACGACCGTACTTCAGTTTGTGCTGATGGCCTCTTGTCCTTTCGCTGGGTACCACTGAGAAGAGTCCGGCTCTGTCATAGAGCCTGTCCCCATCAGGTACTTACTGGTAAGATCCCATGAGCTTTCCTTTCTCCAGGCTGAAGGGGCCCAGCTCTCCCAGGCTGTCCTCGGATAGGAGACACTCCCATCCCTCAGTCACCTCTATTGCCCTTGGCTGAACTCATTCCACTATGCTCAAAATTCTTCTCAGTGTGTAAGCACAGGCACTTTGCTACTGGTCATGACAGCAGCGCAGGTTTTAATGGGAATAACCCCGAGGCCTTTAGCGGGGCAGCAGCCCCAGCAGCCAGGTCTGCTCAAGAGCTGTGCTGCTCTTTGCTGAAACTCCTGCTTCAGGGGTGCGTCCCGCCACAGCCGCGCTCCAGCTGATCCCAGCACCGCGAGGTGCCCACTGCAGCCGGGGGGAGCCCGCGCCGGAGCAGGGGGAGGAGTGAGAGGGACAGAATGGCTGAGGGAAACTGGTAAGTGCCGTTCAGCCCCCGGCCCCTGTGGTGCCCAGTGGAGCTGGAGGAGTCTGAGGGGCAGGGGGGGTGCTGGGCTGGGCAGGACGGGGGGGAAAGGTGCTGCTTTAATGTCCGCCTTGGTTTCTCACCACCCAAGTCTATTTCATTTGGCAGTAACCGGGATTAACTCCCAAGTGGACTCTGTATTTCCCACAACGCTAGCTGGTAAGCAACCTCCCCGACATTATCTCGACCCGTGAGCTTTCCCACCCCATTTCCTCACCTCGTCCTCCCGTGGAGGGCCTGGGTAAGAGTTTGTCCCTTCACCGTGGTTGGCCCTCCACAACCTTAACTTTGCTGCCAGCCACCGATAGAGCATATTTTTTAGAGGACGTTTCACGAGACCTTCTGCACCACTTCTGATTCAGCAGAATTGAAACAGCTAAAAAGGAGTTTTCCTGCCAGGAGCAATGGAGACACAGGGTTGTTTTGACAACATCAGGTGTCACAAAGTGATTCAGCAAAAACAGGTTGTGGCAGAAGTACTTTGTGCCACCCAGAGGTTTGCGTTTTTTACTTTACATCTTGAGAATACTTGACTTGAGAGTTATTTGCATTTAACGATACTCCAATTTGTTATTCAACACGAGTTGAAGTCGGGCAACTGTAAATCTCCTCTACAGCAGGTCCCTTTTATGTACACAGCCCGGACTTGAGTAATATTAAAGACATGTCACAAGAATAAAGCGCAACTCTGTCCTATTATTTAGCTATTTCTGTTTGTAGTGCTTTGTATTCAGCAATTGCAGGTTAAAAACTGCACTGCAGTTGCATGGTATTTTGTTGCAGGGGCTCCTGAATCTGTGTTGCATTATCCTACTGGAGAATCTGGAGGAAAGAAGGTTTATTCAAATACCACACTTCTGCATTGTGTTTTCCTCCAAACAGCAGCCTGCGCGGTGGGGAGCTGCAGTGTCAAAGAATATAGGGGTTCTCCCTTGCCGTGCTAAAAGTGTCAAATAGGAGGTCTTCCTTGCCGTGCTAAATTTGTTGTCATATGTAGCTCGTACTGAGTTCAGGAGTGGCACCTGCCTGTGGGGACTGTTACCAAATGCAGAGAGATGTATTACACTGCTGCAGAGGAGAAGGCATTGATCTCTGTTGATACGCAGCCCTGGAGTTTGTCACGACTGACAAACATCTTGCTATTATTCACGCTTTTATTCCCCTCCCCACCCCGCCGCCCTTAAAGGCATCAACAGGAGTAGACTATACTGGGCATGGGCCCATGTTGTTACTCAGGCAGAATGCCCTTTGAAATCAACCAACTCTTTGAAACTATGGGGAAACACTGGTAACTTGTCCCAGTGCTTGCAAATTATGTTCCTTCAGCCTCCTCCCTGCTTTATTCTCCTGAGTGGTACTTTGATCCTTTACTAATACTAGTAACATACCCATGGTGCACTGGCTGATAATGGAACTACTGAGAGCAAAAGAAAAGTGTGAAAATGTGGCAAGTCTGGCCTTGGAGCCTGTAGTAGCCTTTCAAAAATGTCACTGACGCTTATTCCAAAGCTGTGGTGTGGTCTTTTGAGGTTTGCCTCCTGCAGCTGTCAAGAAAGCAGAAGGCTGACCTAAGCTCTCAGTTTTGCTGTGTGACTAGACTGAAGGAAATTAGGTTGTGTTCTCACACCTGGTCTGGAATGAATTTGTTTTGCTGTGGACTGTGGCAGCACGTGGATGTAGCACTACTAAACACAGGTGATGTAAAGCTGTAACAAGGGTGAAGATATTGGAGAGGATAATATAAAAGGACAGAGAACGATGGAGTGTTTTGCTCGGTAACCTACTAGCTCTCATGCTTTTCCTTCCACTGCTGTGTTTTTGAGTTGCATCTTTCAACCTTGTCATTCTGACTGCTCTTTGATACCTCTCACCTGCAGGACTTGATCTACCTATGGCCAAGGACCGGAACATTGCAATAACTGAGGAAAATGAAGCACCTATGGAACTCACCCCTGTGGTAAGGAGAGGTCTGATACAAGGACATCGGCTTACAGCAACGCTATAGGGCAATACAAATTAGAAAAGCTCTGCAAATCAGGATTTAGCCTCCTTTCCAAAATGTTTCCCTTCATTAAAGTATTTGGCCCCAAATTCCTTTGATTTCTGTCTCTTAAAATGAGAAAGGAGTGTGTGAAACTTCACCACTCTTCAGGACTGAGATTTTCTCGATCTGTTAATGCGCAAGTGTAACCCTATTCATAATGGAGCGAAGAAGTTACCCTGAAGTGCAGTGCCCCAACTCCTCCATACGCTGTACTGTTATGTGCTGGAGGACATCTGCAAGAAGACAATGCCCCAATAGCTGGTTTGAATGACAAGTCAAGTTCCAGTTAATTTAAATGCAAACTGTCTTAGTTCTGAAAGGACGATAGAGCAAAAACGGCTGTTGAATGACATGCTTTCTATATCTGTCTTGTAAGTGTCTAGGAAAAGCACATACTGAAAATCTCTGGATTCAGGATTGGAGCCTGGAGCCTGCAGTTAGAAGACAGACAGTGCCAAAGGGGACAAGGCTTGTGGCAGAAGGGAGGTTTGTTCCCTGTTCAACTTAAGAAGGTGCAGAGGTACTTGCTGGAGGAAAAGGGAGCCTTGGGGACTGGATTGCTTGATAAAAGGTGTAGGACAGTGAGAGTGGAAAGAAAATTAGGGTTTCCTCAGGCAGCTGGCTGTTGGAAGAGGGTTCCCAAGGCAGAAGCATCTTTTTGTGTAGGAGGCTGGAGGGTATCAAATCCCAGAAAACAAAAGAATGGGGGATGGGAGGCTAGAAACTAAGAGCACGGAGATGGAGGAGTACAGACAATGTGGCTGGAGTTTTGTTAGCTTTTATTTTAAACAAACTTTCAAACTGATTTTGTCTCCAGCCACGGGCCGGGATGCTGCAGTTGCATTACCGTGGGTTGACTTTAACTAGAGCCCAAATATTTTAGTTAAATTAACCATGTCCTCCTGACTACTGACTGCTGCTTAAACTTTCATTATCATGTGGGGTTTTCGTTCGTTTTGTTTTAAATTGGTGGGGATTCTAAGGTACATATGGTCAAATTCTACCCCAGTTACGCCTCAATAAATCGGGAGTAAAGTTGATGATTCAAATTGAGTTTGTGAGGTCTTGGCAAACAAAAATGAAGCCATAATGAGCTATTTTAAACAATATAAACTGGAAACAGCGAATGAACTACATTGGACTATGAGCTCACAGGAGACTTTTAACATCTTAGGACTTCTGCCACAGCTTCCCCTTTTTTCTTGCATACCTTCTCGATACATTTCAAGAAAATTCCCTTGTGCTTTCACTTGGTGCAGAGGGGTTTGCCATGGTACTGGGCCTCCTGGCCACATGGGGAACTGCTGCCCTTGGAGGGTAAGTGTCCTTTTCTGGGTATGGCCACTGCTGGAGATATGCTACTCCTCTTTGCCAGCTGTGCTTATCCTATGCTTTCAACCCCTCAGCTAATGGCACTGCCACAAACTCTGCTTCATATTCCACCTGCTGTTTTCCTAATTTCCCAGCCTTTTGAGAAACTCTCTCCTAATTTTTGCATTCCTCTTTTCTTTAGACCTCAGCAATCCTCTCCTTTTCATACAGCTCTTTGTGATTTAAGAAAAATATCAATGCCACTTTGCTCTTAGCAGCAGGAATAAAAACAGATGGAAAGATCATGTGCCTATTGATATTTCCAACACTGTACCTGTATGGTGGAGTGGCTGTTTTGCTTCTTTTCCTGCTCTTTGGATCAGTAGCTGGTTTTCTTTCTGTAAAGCAGCTTGAAAGCTCTGCTATGAAAGAATGGAATCCTATCAACTGACATGTCAGAAAAGCATCATGACTTTGAAGTAGATTTTTTGATTAGGTAGTGATTTTCCATACAGAACAAATCCCTAATAATAGTAAGTGGCTGCCCTCTTCATCCTCTCTGGCTTAAATTCATCATTTTCTGTTTTTTCTGTAAGTCAATAGAGGCCTTGTTCCTTTCCTGGGAGATGCGACACCTGCTCCAAAATAGTTGCTCCTATGCATACTGTTACAACAGACTCTATGTGTAAGTATCTATGCCTGTATCTACTCCTATGTCTATGCCCATGCCTACACCTATGCCGACACCTGTACTGATAGCTATATCTATATAATTTGTATCATTTATATATCTCAGAGAATTTGGGATTGATTTGATGACCAAGTTTAGAAGACTGGCAAATCTGACCAGTTTCAAACTGCATTGAATGAATTCATTACCACCACACCGGGCAGTTCTTACACATTATTCGATACCTGTACTTATACTAAAGTCTGATACAATCGTATTCGATGTGTATTAGTCTTGCACAATGATACTCTAAATTAGCTGTGGGTATACAGTACCATGGAATTGATGCCATATAGTGAATCCGTATGGCCAGAGTCCTTGGTGGTTCCTTGTCCTGAGGTCACGGTGAGCAGCAGAGAGACAAATCAGAACCACACTGTGTTTTCTTTCCTCTCTTGCTCTCCTTGCTCGTGCCAGTTTTTACACTATGGCCCCCTCTTTACAAAAATAGCAGGGTGGGCGGTAGGGTGTCCTTTCTGCTTGCTGTGTTGGTTATTTTAATTTCTCTTGTCTTGACACTCATCCTTCTGTATTTGGGAGGATGCCCTGCATGCCCCGATGCTTATCTTGCCCTTTTTTCTCCACTTTTGATACTTGTGTGCCTCCTTTGTGCAATTTCACCCACCTTGCCTTTTGAATGATCATACCGATCATATCCTGATTTTAAATTGTGCTTGGAGGAGACTATTACAAAAAACTTACTTGCCATTGTTATAGCAATTTAGTACACCTATATTCAGGTTCAAGGCAAGCTCTTTCTAATTTAATCTTGATTAGCACATTTGTATCTTGTAGGTGACACAGACCTTTGCTCTGGCTACAATGCTGACACACCCACAAATACCTACCTGTTCCCCACAGAGTTAGAGGGCTGTAGCTTGCTTCAAAAGGAATCCTTCAAAATCCAGAGAAGGACATTCGAAGCGCATTCCTAGGTTACTCAAAGAGTCAGAGTATTGAAGTCTTTAACGCCATGAAGCAAGAATGAATCTAGAGGCATCCTTGTTACAGTTGTGTGACTCCAGCTGGATGATTGTCTTAGGGCAAAATGAAAAATATTACTTCACTGATTTTAACAAAAGTAGCGTTGCTAATTTTTGTGTATATAATTAATTCATTTCAAGGAATGAAACATTTTAAATTGGTGTTTCAGCATTTCATTTTGAAACTGAATTTTCCTTCCTCTAGTGAAGAATTTTTTGGAATTTGTTTATGAGAAACTTTGTTATAGCCCTCAAAATTCTGTGTTTCATTTTTATGTCTGACCAATGGACTGAAAATTGTTTGAACTTTTGGGGACTGCTAAATATCAGCAAATGGATACTGACAGCTCTAGTCACTTAATGAACAATTTTCTCCTATAATAAGTACAACCATGAGTGTGTTTAATGAAGTACCTACAGCAATCAGTACAGTTTTATTCAATGTTCTGTTTAATACAGGAGTAAACATTGCACTAAATGAGCATATATTTTCTGGGACTGCAATTTTTTAAAAAAACAAAAGGCCAACCAACACAACCAGAGTACAGCCCAGAATATATGCAGTGCACTGAGATGCTAAATAAGGGATGAAGCTTTGTGTGCTCTGTGATTTCCAAAAGATTGCAACATTTTGAATGGGAGAAATGACTCAATGATTGAATTAGTTTTCAGACTGTTTGTGCTCTCTGTAACTGAAAATATTCAAGATGACTGAGTAATGAGATAAAATTTGCACTGTGCCAATTGATAGGATTTCTTCATGTGTGTGTTTGTGCGTGTGTGTATGTGTGCTTGTTGTAAATAGGCAAGTACCACTTCATCAACAAACACAGTGATCTCCCACAAAATATTTACAACCTGCACCCCAAGGTCCCATAAAGGTTAAGCTTTTTAATGTGTGAGGGGAAAAATCCATAGGAAACATTGGGTTTACTCAGAAAGTAGTTACTTGTAGCTTTGATAATGATTTGCAAGCATATGAGAGGCAATGTAACTAACTTTGATTTTTACTCTTAAATTACCGCGCACAGCATCTTTACTGAGGCTGTGATTTTTTCCCCACATATGAAGGGATGCTCCTACACAATCCCTCTGAGAGCCTGCCCTCGTTCCTCAGGCTGCCTGTTGTCTCTTCGTGCTGAACTGTGCATCTGGTCATTCATGCACGTATCTATGCATTATACAGGTGTGTTTCTGTGTGTGCACCTGCTGGGGATGCATGCTTAGCCTCACTGCTGGTTGGACCCAGGGCATGAAACCGTGGCAGCTTTGCCTCCGTCAGGCTGCCAGAATCAGCAACTCCTACATGAAGCTTTTGCAATTTCCATTTCCTGGCTTTTCTCTCTTTTGTCGTTGATCAACTTCTCCGGCATTTTCACCTTTGGAAAGAGAAAAAGGTTTCCGTGCCTGACTTCCACCCTTATTGGCTAACGGTCTGAAATGACATTGCTACCTTACCTCCCATGCTCCATGTCTCAAATTCTGTTGTTTCCCTTCTGTATATTCCTAGGTGCAAGTTTTTGGTCAAGTTTTGTTCCTCAGCATTATCTTCTCCCCAGAGATCACACTACTGCTCAGGTAGTGGCCTTGTGCAGTCCCTTTTAAGCTGAATGTGAATTGTTGATGGGCCAAATTGCATCTGAGTTTAGGAGTAGCTTATTATGAACAAAGACAAGACTTTTTGGCTGACATCGAATGTCCAGAAGAGAAGATCCTGCTGTGACAATGCTGACTCTTTGTACTGGTTTTGTTAAGGATACTCAGTGTTTAGCCATGTATCCAGTAACATGGCCTATGGGGTGCACAGATCAAGGCTTTCTTACAGCAAATGGTTCTGGTTATTGGTTTGCAAACTTCTCTTCAATTTCTTGCCTTCTGATTCTTGCTTTTGATTTTATAACCTTTCTGAAGCTTTCCCTGAGTTGGCTTATCCCACCTGATGCATTCTGTTTTCTTAAAACTGTATTTTCTTTAAAAGTATTTATTTTCATCAGAGTGTTGGGTTTGGGGCTTTAATTTCTTTAACATTTTCTTGAAACTGTGTTTGAAAAGCGGACATTTGAGCCAATTTTTTTAATGATGTCTCTTCTCTTTGCATCTATTATCTCCCCTTCTAGTCTATTTCTGTTACTACAACTTTATTTCTTGACTTCAGCAATGTCTTTTGCCTTCAGCATACATGATCGCTGACTTAACTCGTCCAGCTTTTCACTATTAAAAGGACTTTCTACCTTTATTTGACTGAGGTTTTGGAGTCACACTTCCATTCTTTTTCCCCATGGAGTGAACTAAATGTCCGTCCCTCAGCCCGGGTGAAGTTTGTGCTACCTCCACACGAATGTGTTTTAATTGACTCTTAGTGCTTGCAAACAATCAAATGGATCTTGACTCGTTTGTTTTTTGTTTTGTTTTGTTTTGTTTTTTCCAAAAACAACCTACAGTAGTTTGATGTCCTTCCTGTAGGTTGATCAGTGAGGATGAATCCTTACAAGACAGCTTCTCCTGGCTAATTTGCTAATTATCACTGTCTCAGCCCAGGATCAGTATTAAGAACTTGAGAATTTTGGCTGCTTCACTGGAAATCTTTCTCAAACTGTGACTCTACCTTGTGCAGATTGCAAGTTTGCAGTATGGAGCAGCCTTCTTTTGTGTCTGCAGAGTGTTTAGCACCTTGTGATATTAGCCCTGGTTTTGACGGGGTCAGTTTGCCGCTGCTGCAGCAGTCATTAGTAACTGTAAAGAAAACGCGTGTGGAATAGCCCTTTGAAATGTATGGTGGGGATCCAATGTTTAGACTGACTGAACCCTTATTCCTGTTACTCTCTGCAGTCTTTTTGGTTATTCAGGATCTTGCCCTGCACTGATAAAATCATATTTTATCAGAAAAGAACCCCAAGTATCTGCTGCAAAGATCACTGGCATCAATGGGAAAAGCCTCATGCTTTGGCCTGTACAGCTGTTGGGGCAGGCACTGTAATTGCAGTCAGCTTTGAATGCAGCCAAACACAGCGAGTCAACAGTGGCTCCAATTCCTTGATGCAGCACCACTGGGCAAGTGAGTAATGAATAGCTGATGCCAGTGGCATGAATGCTGCACTTCAAGCGATATACAAGAAGATATTATTGGGGTAACTACTTAAGCTCATAGGGCAATCTGTAAATGTCTTTGTTCAAAGAGGGGCTTTTCTTCTTAGGCCATGTGAACTAAAGATATTAAAAAATGGCAGTGATGGCTTGGTGTGCTGAACTATCAAAATCTTCAGTTCCTACAGCTTCAGCTTCTTCAATACCTCAGCTCTTCTGCCACTGAGGTTGGTAGAGGAATGCCTTGTGATACAAGAGTTACCAGAAAGGCCCTCAGCATCTTCCAACACTGTCTGTCTAGTTCAGATGTTCTGGTACAGACTCAGCAACTTCTGTGAAGAGAGGGATCTGTGCCACATGCCCCAGCCTGGGGCGGCTCTCGGGAATTGGAGTAGGAGCTGCCATGCACAGAGCAGCTGAAGATGCAGTCCTGCTGTTTGAACACCCAGAGACTTTGAAGGCAAAAGAGGTTCTTCCCTGAGGAGCAGATGCACCCCACCGCTTCTCCAGCTGCGCCGACAGGCAGGACGGATGCCCACGCAGATCAGGGTGCTAGGAATCAGTCCCTGCTAGTTTATCCAGCAATATTTATCTCTTTGAATGCCTGAGAAAATGAAAGTCCTGTATACAGTACTGAAAACCTCAGCTTTGATTTGAGCTATTTGCAATATTTTGACATTTCAGAAGTACTGATCTAGCTAGTTTCCATGTGGCTGTTAGTGGAACTCAGATGGTGATTGTTTGTTGGGTTAAGAAAAGAGCAGAGAAGTATCTGCACGTTGTCAGCTCAGTATTAATATAATTTGTCCTTTTCTTCTGGACTAAAGGAATGGTTTAGCACAGAGCTCATAGAGTAGAAAAATGCCGTTTCAAAGAGCAGTAAACAAAAGATTTTTGTGATTCTTACAACTGAGAAAATAAACAATGTAGAAACATCCAATTCCTCTTTTTAAAAATAGCTAATAATTAAAAGTGATAATACAAATTTTTAGAGTATGGAAAACACTAGACAATAACTCTGAAGTGCACACATTCCTTTTCTCTCCAGGCTAGAAGTAAATTCAATTACAAAAAGTATCCAACAAGGGCTCAAGAAATAGCAGGAAGGGACTATCCATAAATGATTTAAAGTTTAATTAGATATATCCACGAATGACAAACAGAACATGGAAAAAAGTCTCATTGATAATGTATTGGAACAAACATTGTAATTTGAACAGAACAAAGTGCATACTTAGTGTATATTGTATGCTTTTATTTTAAAGAAAACTTCTGGTAGAGCCTGTTCAGAATGCTCAAAGCTTGGAACTCAATGAATAAACCTCTTAAAACTGAAGTTATAAATACAAGATTTGGAGGAGAGTTAATGTTATCCTATTCATTGATAAAAGCAGTTTAGAAATGCTTGAAAGTTAGTAAGAGCAATGAATTCTAGAAACGTCTAATGGCAACAAAACCTTTTTGTCGAACACTTTCTCACTTTTTCTGCACTTCGCTGTGTTTATCCTCATAAATTTTCTGGTAATGAGCATATTTTACAGTCTGATCAATAGTCAGAGAATCTCTGTTTCATTCATTAGAATCTTCTCCTAAAACCAAACAACACTCCTCCCCTCCATTTTTAAGCTGGAGTCAGTGCATGCAAACAGGATGAGCAAAGCCCTAAATACAGATCTCTTCTGGATTGAGGGTCTCCAAATACATGACTTGCATTCTCCCAGAGGAATGCCCAGAGCCTAATGGCTAGCAGCTGATGTTGCAGAGTTCCAGTCTCATTGATAATCTTTATGTAAACTGGTATGTAAAGTGGAACAGTAACAAAACAGAAACTGAGAGTATCCAGTCTCTGAACTGTCACTCAATCATTGGTTTGATGAGTGCCTCAGCTTTGGAAATGACAGCTTTGAATTATTCTTCTGCTTAAGAAGGCTTCACATGGAATCTGGCAGAAAGGTTTCATACCATTCTGATTTTATCACAGACTGCAGATGTTTTCTGGCACACAGAGGGTGTATTGGGTCAGTCACCAACAATATACAAGTTCTGAAGAGAATTTTGCATTTCTATAAGGAAGGCTAAAACATTTGCTTTTTTGCACAGATTGAATAAAAGTTTGGTTTTGCTTCCACAATGAATAACAAAATAATTGGTCCTTGTCATCTTGGACAAGACTATGATGAAAAACATCATTACAGTCTGCTTTCATGGGCTTTCCCTGCTTGCACACTTTTAAGTTTGCTTAGAGATGCTACAACTGGTTTGATTTTATTAAAATTTCTACTGAAATGGTTTTAAGCTGTCATATTATTGGTATACATATAGCGTCTCCTGTTCTACCTAAGCCACAGAGCATGGCTTCCTCAAGTCAAAACAAAGGTATAGACCCACTCTTTTAGTCACCCAGCTTTTCTCCTCCTTTATTTCAATCTCAAAAGGATCTTACTTTATCACTGAGCTTTTAAACTTACACAGATTTTAAACACAGGTATAAATGCAGTACTGACAGTATTTCAGGTGTAGTATGCATGGGGGGAAAAAAGAAACATTCATTTTTTTGGAAATATTTTTTTTTCTTGCTACCTTTATTGTTGTGGTGAATTCTCGTGCCCGTGCACAGCCTGGTCTCATGTCTGTGACGAAGCCAGTCTCAGACACCAATATGGTGTGCAGAAAGCGCTCGTTTATTAAGCCTCAGTGATACATATTTATCTTATTTTGTGTTCCGTACACGCGCCGAGCATGCATACTACTTTACAATTATAGGCTACTAATTATGTATGTTAGTTTGTGATTGGTGCTGCAGGCCGATCACTTGCTGTTCACGCACCTTAGCGGATTGGATGCTCTTTTTCCCGAGTCCATTGCCAGCTTCTTCTCTAAATGTTGAACCATCATTTTTTGTTTCCAGACGTTGAACCATCACTCTTTGTTTCCTTGTGTTGAACCATCACTTTGTTTCGTTGTGTCCTTGGTTGCCTTGGTGACTCTTATCATAGGTCCTGATAAGGCCGCTGGGCCACATAAACCCCCACAATTGTCACTGTCATGAAGATAGAGAAGTATGAACTTTGGCGGGGAGAGGGGAAATACTTCATGCTCAGTTATGATCCTTGTTTCTCCTAGATCTGATTTATCTGATCATAAAGATCTAATGTTTTAAATTCAAATGGCTGCAATTAATTATTTTTAACGTATATTTGTAGTTTCCAGCTTTTTGTGTGCAAATCTGAAAAATGCAACTTCATATTCCTTCAACACTATTGAAACAGAGGACTATATCATAAACAATTTACTTGTTTTGCATTCAGACAGCCATCTTACTCGTAAGAGAATAAATTAGCAAAAGTTGACCTGACCAACTATATAGGGTAAATAATAGGGCCATTGGTTATAAAATGGCCTAATGTGTTCAATAAACAATCAAGTTTTAATTTAAAAAAAGGGCTCTGACATTTCAAATCTATTCTAATGTTATGCCCTAGGATTATTGCTCTATTAAATAATCCACTTAATACCATACAAAAGTAACACTGAGCCTTAGTTAAGTTCTAATGGCCAAATATAGGAACAATGTTTTTTATGCTTACAGTCTGCGGCCACACCGCAGTGATTCCTTTTTTTGACTGATTGAAGGAAATGAACAAATACTTCAATGCACTTTAGTAGTAGCAAAGAAAGATAAGTGACATCATGTGATTTAATCATGTGGCTGCGACGTCTGGTTCAGCAACAAACAAGAGTTCAGAATAATACCATCAGCAAAGAAACAGACTCTTGTATGAAGGACTTCAAGCACAACTGCCCTTTGGTTTCCATGGTCTTTCATCAGGCCTATATGAACAAGGCCCTAACTATGACTATTCCTGACTGTCCTGGATTTGGTTATGGTAGAGTTAATTTTTCTTAGTAACTACAGTAGTGCAGCACTTTGGATTCAGTATGGGATTTGGTATGAGAAGAATGGTGATAACACACTGATGTTTTCAGCTGCTTCTAAGAGATCAAGGATTTTCCAACTCCCCATGTCCTGCCCATGTATGGGTACACAAGAAACTGGGAAGGAGCATGGCCAGAGCACCAGACCCAAACTGGCAAATTAAATATTTCATATCATGTAATATCATGATCAGTATATAGAGGAGGGGTGGCTGGGAAGAAGGGCATTCTCTTGCTTCTGGGATTGCGATTTCAGGATCTTGGTTTTTTTAGCATCACTAGCCATGAATAGTCTGGGTATCGGTCAGCAGGTGGTGAGAAATTGCATTGTGCATTACCCGCCTGTGCTTTCTATTATTGTTATTATTGTTTCATTTTATTTAAGTGATTAAACTGTTTTAATCTTAACCTATGAGTCACTCTTTACCCCTCTAATTCTCTCCCTCATGCCCTGGGGGGAGGGTGAGTGAGTGGCTGCATAGTGCTTGATGGCCAGCTAGGTTTAAACCACTACACTGATCTACTGGTATTTTCTGTGAAAGAAAAGCTGCTGTGAACAGATTTACAGTTTTATTTTTTAGCGTTTTGTTTAGCCTCCTCAGAAGTTGTGTGATAGTAAATGCATGCTCTTTCTACACTATTTTCTCATGTGCTTGGTAAGATATATACAACAGTCTGGGCTTACCCAGCAGACAGCTTAATCACCACTACTGTAAATTCAATTAACAGCACTTGTGGGTCTATAGTCTGATGAAGCACAATCTTGTTAGAGCAGATTGTGAAAATATGTGACCACTATTTCAGGCTGTTGTAGATACTGGTATATCTTCTACATGTGGCTTCTAGAGGAGAACACGCTTTGATGGTTTCATTTTTTTTGCTGGAGATGATGGTTTGAGGCAAAGGTGAGGCCACCGCATCCTGAAATGGCCTTAGTAGGACCTGCGAGCAGTTACTGCAATCCTTGGCAAGACAAATTCCCAGTTCTTGGGCAGAGCAAGAGGAACAGGCCACTCACCTGCCCCTACCCTGTCACCAAAATTTGGGGATGAAATACTAAAGTAAGGGAGTGGAGAATGAGGATTTAAAGGTGCAAAAAACTAAACAGGCCCCTATCCCCTTGCTCTGCCTGCCCTGAGCCTTCCTTGCACATCCAGCCTGCAGAGGAAATGATGCCACTCCAGACACCTCTGAGGCTGCAGCAGATGCAGAGTTGGGTGGTGCCCGTACAGTAGCCTCTGTGTGTCCCAACCAGCACTTCCAAGGCACTGCTAAACACTGCACCAGGATTGTTGTCCGATTTCCCTCTTTTTCCCTTAGAAGGTTGCTGGGTCCTCTTGTGCAGGTGAGGAAGTCATGCTTGTCAGTCTTTTGGGAGAGGAGGAGGAGCGAGGTAAGGGCTGTAGAAGTTGAGACAAGCTAGGCAGTTTTGGAGACTGATTTTTATGAAGAAGCATGAACATGTTTTACCTCTGCCTGTGATTTTTATTGCACCCAGGACAAAAGAAAGGCTTTTCTGGGAGAGTGTCGGTATGTTGGCCAAACTATTTACTGACAATTTATTTATCACTCTTCCATCCACCTGCTCTTTAGATGATTGCCACCTTAGCAGACATGGCACCAAGTTTGCAGAGTCAGCAAGTTATGTAGCCAGCCTTGCTGGGTAGGAAAGAGGAAAAGTAATAACTAATACTGGTTTTGTTAGCACTCTTTAATTCTCACTCTCGCTTAGAAGCCCTGTTATTGATGATTTTCAGTTAGTTGCTAACATCAAAATTAGAACGCTGGGGTGTTGTGGTTTTTTAATTATTATTTTACTCCTAAATGGATTTTTGGCAACATGTGAAGTAGAAGCTGAATAGGGTGAGGCAAAAGAGTTACTGTTGTCTTGTGGATGCTCCTGAAAGAGTAGCACAAAATGATGGAGGGAGGGTGCATAGAAGACACCAGACTGGAGCTGTGACTACATGGGCAGTAAATAAATCTGAAGTATTAGTAAAAGTCCTGTTTCCTCATTGGCTTGTGGACTCTGTTCTGTTGCTTCCATTTTCCTTAAGTTAGATATTCATGATACCATGTGCCGAGCTAGATCAGATAAATCATCAGGCAGAAAATTAACCTCATTTTTAAAAAAGAAAAAAATTTAAAAGCTAAAAAAGAAATTATTAACCTAGTCCTAGCAGATCAGCAGGATCAGCTGTGGAAATGTTGGTGCAGGGAAGAGAGAAAGGAAACAGCTATGTCAACTCTTTTCAGCAGCAGTTTAAATTTAGATTGGTTTAAATTCTATAAACTTGACCTAATTTGGAAAATTACACATCATATGCAGGCTTGAGATGAGATTTCTGTGCTCAGATTTTAGACTTCTGGGTGGGATTCAGTGTGTATTCATGCCCAGGGTTCAGGTTTAACAAAGGGAACAGGACAGCTTTAGGTTTCTGATTTATGTGGCGTAAAAATTCCCCTTACCATCTCCCTCAGGAGGTGTTTTTCTTTTTATTTTGCTGGCTCTTTAGTAACAGCTTAGACATTTTACTGAGGAAAACTTAGTTATCAAAGCTGCTGTTGAACACCAGAAAACCTGCTGGTGTACTCTAATCTGACAATGTAATTATTCATAGTTGGAACTTTATCACAGAATCATAAAATACTTTAGGCTTTAGGTAACCTCCCTAGTCCAGCTCCCTGATCAAAGCAGTGCTGCCAACCCCAAAGACAGGTCCATTAGTCACAACATTTTTATCTCAGTTCCTTACTATTCGTATGTTACAAATTAGATTATTTTATTACCAGTCTATCCCTACTTTAAGGGATACTTAAGAAGTGACATTAAAGCTGAGATTTCAGTCCCCATGTTGCTCTAGTAATACGGTATACTTCTGTTCCAAGAACCATATGCAACAGGCAAACCACAACAAAGATTCACTATGGAAGTATCCCATTAGCTGAGTGACAGACGTGCTGTGAAAATAATGATCAGGCAGACAACTCCTGAAAACTGGGCCCTGCTGTGCAAATGAATGGTATCTAAAAAGCACTGAGAGAATCTGGGGGGTTCTCTGCGTCGTTTCTATGACAGCTCTGCTTTGCTCTCTGCTGCAGTACTGTACTCTTGATATCTACTTATTGCAGGACACTGTGGCTCCCAAACCTGACTATTAAAACTAAATAGAGGTTAAAACTGACTGGATTTTTTTAGAAATATTTTGGTGAAAAATATTGATTCACATAAAACAACTCCTTTTACAAAAACATAGCTGGATCAATGAAATTTTATTTGGAAGTGGTTTCTTCATAGTCTCAGGCTGATTCAAAGCTGAGACTTCTGGTAACACCA